ATCAATGCAAACAGTAATTTCTTGCCAAGTTCTTCTCAAACTCCAGAACTGCGCAACGAGATTTCTGGATTCACTCAGAAGAATGGTGAAACACTCTGTGAAGCATGGGAGCACTACAAAAGTTATCAGTCTCAGTGCCCCCCCCCTTGGCTTCATCAAGGAATCTCTCCTTAGTACTTTCTATCGAGGCGTTCTCCCAAAGATCAGGATATTACTTGACACAGCCAGCAATGGCAACTTTCTCAGCAAGAATGTCTACGATGGTTGGGAGCTTGTCGAGAACCTAGCCCAATCTGATGGCAACTAAATTGAAGACTAGGACAGAACCATCCGGGAAAGCACATATCTTGATTACAAGTACAAGAACGAGATGAAAGCCGTGAATGATAAACTAGGAAGACTTTTGATGAGCCAGAAAAGGAACATCCATTTCGTCTCTGAAGAAGACCCTTTCCAGATTCTAGATGGGGAGGGAGAACAATCTGAAGAGATAATCTATGTCCAGAACCAAGGTGGATACAACAAGGGATACAACCCCTATAAGCAGAATCCCAATCTGTTTTATCGAAACAACATTGTTTCCAATCCACAAAATCAGGTTTATCAAGCTCCACAACAACATCAGTTGGGGTAAAACAAACCATTTGTGCCCTACAACCAAGGTTATGTGCCCAAACTACAATTTCAGTCAAGGTTACCAACATCCAGCAGGACAACCACCAGGATTCCAACCCAACAAGTTCCGCCTTCTCAGGCACCAGACCAGGACATGAAAAACATGCTTCAGCAACTCATTTAGGGACAAGCAAGTGGCCTTGTGGATAATGCTTAGAAGTTTGCTGAGCTCACTCAAAGATTAGATTGCTCCTACAATGATCTGAATATGAAGTTTGAAACTCTGAATTCTAAGATCAATTATACGGAGGGAAAAACTGCTTCTACTTCTGCCCTAAAGCCTGGCCAACTCCCAGAAAAAGCTGTTTAGAATCCAAAAGAGTTTGCTCATGCCATCACGCTGAGGAGCGGTAAAAAGTTGCCTCCCAGAGAAGGACCTATTGATGTCACTGAGGACAGTGAAGATTTGGAAGGGGAGGATGTATGTTAGAATGAAGATCCGAATGTTCATCTGAAAGAATAAGAAGTCGTACCTACTACAAGAAAACACGTCGATTTCCTACGAACATTTCTACAAAAATATTGGTATGAAGAATTACCTACGGAAAAACTTCGCAATTATGACGAAAACGGAATGTGGTAAGAAAAACAAAGAGAAATTTACTACGACTAAATGTGTCAGAAAGTGGTAGGATTTTTTCCTACCAAGTTCTTATAAATAATAGTTTTGAAGGAACTGGTGAAGGAAAAGAGCCGGAACGTGGAAAGAAAACGCACGGAGAGATATTGGTAGGAATTTTTCCTTCTAAATACCTTCGACTTTAAAATGGTAGGAAAAGTTGTAGGAAACAGAAGATAGATGGAGGAAATTACAATGGTAGAAAATATGAAGGAATGCATTTGTAGGAAATCGGTAGATATATGGAGGGAAGTAAGGTAGTTGGAAATGCGAAGGAAATTGGGAGGAAATATGTGTAGGAAATTCGTAGGTTACTAGTCGGTGCTGACAAGTTGATAACAAGTTGATAATCTAGTGGGTGTATAAGTTCATAATGCAGTGCAAGTTGAGAAATAAGTGCGGTTGGTGAAACAGTATATATTTTGGTAGGAAATATGTAGGAAACAGATATTTTTGTGTCTATATAAATACACAAGCTCCCAATTTCACGCATTTCTCTATATTTTCTTACGAGTTACAAGTAAGAGTTTTTTTTAAAGAAAGTTCTATGAATTTTTTTTTTTATTTCTTAAATTTTTTTTTTCATATTTCACGAGAATTCTTTTTAATATTTTCAATGAACTACTTTCGGTCATGGTTAGACAAAGAATGCATGCACGTCGCTATGGATCAAGAAAGTTGTTTGAGAAGTGGTATGATGTTTTGACCTTGTCCTTGTTGTAATAATACAAAATTTATCGATAAGGATTTAGTTTGGAGTCATATCTACAGAAATAGAATAATGTCAAGTTACAAAATATTGTATTATCATGGGGAAAATGATGCATACGATGTGGGTAGTTCTAGTGGAAATGTAGTAGAGAGGGTAGAAGAATCTATGATTAGAGAAGAAGAGGTAGGTACAACTCAAATGGTACATGATGCTTATAGGGAAAATATGAATGCCTATTCAGAACTTGAGAATACCGTAGAAGAACCAAATGTAGAAGCTAGAAAGTTTTATGATATGCTAGATAGTTCGAAGAGTAAGTTGTATGAAGGTTGTAAGGAAGGTCATTCTCCTTTATTTACTGCAACTAGAATGATGAATATAAAGACATATTACAATTTACCTGAAGATTGTGTAGATGCTTGGGCAGATTTCGTAAAAGAAATATTGCCCGAAGATAACATCTCACCAACTTCTTATACTTAAATTGAAAAGCTTGCAGCTAGTCTCGGTTTGCCATATCAAATGATCGATGTTTGTATCAACAACAATATGATTTACTGGCAATCAGACGCAGACTGCATAGCTTGTCGATTTTGTGGGAAGCCTCGGTTTCAAAATACTGGTGGAAGGTCTCGAGTGCCATTTAAGAGTATGTGGTATTTACCAATAGCAGATCGGTTGAAACGATTATATCAACAACTCCGCACGGCTGGAGCTATGAGATGGCACCACGAGCATGCGAACCCTGAAGGTCATATTGCCCATCCCTTTGACGCTAAGGCATGGAACCATTTTCAAACAATGTATCCAAGTTTTACAGAAGAAAGCAGGAACGTCTACATGGGACTTTGTATAGATGATTTCAACTCCTTTAGAAAGCATGGATGACAATATTCTCTGTCGCCAGTTATTCTCACACCTTACAATCTGCCTCCATCGTTGTGCATGAAACAAGAGTTTTCTATTTCTGTCTTTCCTGACGGATATGCTTCCGACCTACAAAATTGTGTTGACAACCAAGAAGGTCGTTTATCAGGGATGAAGAGTCATGATTGCCATGTGTTTATGCAACGCTTACTTCCATTTGTATTTCTGGAACTCCTCCCAAAAAATGAATATGAAGCTATCGGAGGTACGAATAAATTATCTTTTTCATTATCATTCTTGTTATAAATTACCTTAACAATATTTATACTTATTCATTTGAATTCTTCTAAGTAAATTATATTAACATATATAAACGTATAAATGTATTGTAGGAATTAGTGCTTTCTTTCGAGACCTCTGCGCAAGATCACTTACGGAAGATGGCATTAGGCGATTATCGGACAACATAGCAGTTCTTATATGCAACTTGGAGAAAATATTCCCACCGTAGTTCTTTGATGTAGTGGAGCATCTTCCTATTCATCTTCCTAGGGAGGCAGAACTTTGGGGTCCGGTTCAATATCGGTGGATGTACCCATTCGAAAGTTTCATGTTCCATCTGAAAAAGAAGGTGGTGAATTTAAGCGAAGTCAACGGTTTTATTATCGCACAAAGCATCAATGAAGAACGATCCAATTTTGCTGCCCATTATTTCCCCCGGAGTGTTCAAACAAAAAGCAGAAAACCTACCCGTTTTGATGATGGAAGGGAAAAACCCAATACATAACTTTCGTTACAGATATCTTCACACAAATCGGTCGGTTAAGTGGAAACCAAGGCAACAATGGCTTACAGAAGAATATTAAAACACTTGCATACCTACATTTTGCTTAACTTTGAGGACTTGTTTCCATATGAAAGGTATATAAATCTGAGATCAGTTTCATTTATATTTACTTATTAAAACTTGTAATCATTCCCTGAACTTTTTTCCCAACAGGATGTATCTTGAGCAATTACGAACAGCTTACCCATATTATGATGACGAGACTCTTAACAGGATAAAACAAACTGAGTTTCTACCTTGGATGAAATTTTATGTGAGTATAATTTTTATTTACTTTTGATTTTCGTATTATTTCCATTAACAATGTTAAATACAGGTTCAATCATGCAACGATAGAGATGAGCGCGTATCTACTTGGTTAGAAGAGCTGGTAGATGGTCCAATGGCACTTGCACAAAGTTCACCAGCTTACTACACCCGTGGCTATGCATTCAAGGTTCTTAAGGAGAGTGAGAATAGGAAAACCATTAACACTGGTGTTAGTACGAAAGCCGGTGATATGATTCGTGGGTTACGTTACACAAATAAGCCCTAGAGGGAGCGTACATGGAGTTTTAGAAACCGGTCCTTTACAGCAGACATTTGTTGGGAACATACAAGCTGTTGATCTTATGCTTGATGAAACTTTCGACTCCCAATTAGAAGAAGAGACAATCCTCAATGAGATTTTGAATGTTTCCGAAGAAGAGCTTGGAGAGCTAGATCAGACTCATAATCGGAGTAATAAACATTTATTGTTCCAAAAAACATATCCTCAATCATTTCCTATATTTGAAAAAGAAATATTTGTTTTTTTTTAATTCTTAATGAATTTTAGTATTATCCAAAGTTTTCTTTTAAAATTCCACACATAAATGTCAAAATATATGAACATTTTAGTTGCAATAAATAAATTTCTAACCTTCTAAACACTAATTAGATATTTATAATTTGTATACAATATGTTTATAAAATACTAATTTGTATAATATTTTTATTGGGCCTATAATTATAAATATTTATAAACAGAATATTGTATCATTTGTATAAAGTACTAATTTCTATAATATATTTTCATAAATTTTACTTTCTTTATAAACTACTAACCACAATATAAATAATTATAATTTATTTTAAAATTACAAATGTCAATGAAATTATTTATTTGGCATATCACAAATATAAGGATTTTAGGCATAAAATCAGATTGGGCCGTACATAAAACTTTTTGGCCTTGCAAAAATTTGTTGGGCCTTGAACAATAGTCTTGATCCAATAAGGAAAAAGATGAAACCCTAAACACTCTAACCTTCTTCCTTCCCTAAGCCGTCTCAAACTTCTGCGATTTCCTTTCTTCTCACCATCGTTTCTCCTTGCTTCTCACCATCGTTTCTCCTTGATTCTCTTCTCAGCCCTAAGCTTCTGTTCGCCACCAGCTCAATCGACGAGAAGTGAGGATCTACTTCTTCTCAAATACTGCACCGAAGGTGGTATCTTCTCACCTCTTATCACCCTCTTAGTCTCCTCTTTTTATTTCTATTTTGGATGCTTAAAAGTTCTAACATTTCTACTCTTTTTCTTTGTGTGTAAATACAAGGCGGGTCCACGTTTCCTCTACAATATATTGCATTCAGCAAAGTACCGGGTAACTCACAGCAGCTTTCCAAATGTCAAACCAGAACCAGTCGAGCAAAGAAGGAGAGAAGAGTTCTCTCGAACTCCTGTACCACCTCTCCATTTATCAGTAAGTAACTATCAATTCAATGTTTTTTACAAGTCATAAAAAGTTTGAATTTTACTTAGGTTGAGAACTGAATTTGTTTTGTTATTTTCCAAACTTAATGAATCGATTGTGTCTTCATTACTCCTTGCTTCTGTCATATGCATGGGTGTTATAGCCATGTCATATAAATGAGTGTTTGATAAATGATGATTAGCTGCTAGTCTTCGCTACTCCAGCATCGTAGTGTCCTCATCTACTAATAACTATATTTATCATTTATGAACCCAATCAGCTATGCGTTTACTAGTCGATCCCTATGTTTCATTTCTTTTTATATGCAGAATTTAAGTTTATTTTATCATCTATGTTTTTTAATATGAATTTGAAAGAAGAAAAGGAAACGTTAACAATGTGTCTCTCGTTATTTCTATATGTTTAGGTGGAAGTCATTAAAAGTGTCGATTTTACTTAAGTTCATTACTGAATATGTTCTATGTTATTTTTCTCCCATGTGTGTTTCTACTTATTGTTTGATTGTTTTTTCTGTCGCATGTGTGTCTTTACTTATTGTTCCATTCTTATTTCTGTCACATGTGTGTCAACTGTGTTCTGTCCTTTACAATATATTAGTTATCCATTTCTGTCACATGTATGTTTAACTCATCCCTTTAATCATTTGTATGCTTGATTTTCAGCCACGTGGCCGGCAAGAATTTCTACAACACATTGCAGACCAGCAGCATGGATATGATTTTACTAGTCCTAGCTACTTCTTAGATGACTTACCGAGGGTTCAACGGCAAGCACGGTTTCAGCCTACAACCAATAGGAGTGAAGGACTTGAATCTAATTCTCCAGAGCCTACAAGGGAAGGATATGTAGTTCCTATTTTAGTGGATGTGACTGATCTTTTGCGAGCTCCTGGACGGTCTCACCTCCCAGTCCTTTGTCCAGATCGTGAAGGCAATGATATTTGGTAAATCCTGTCCATGAACCTTACGCTTGAAAATTTATATTTGCTGTTACCAAAAGTGTATTCTAATTTGCTGATCACAATGCATGTTTAGAAGTGATCCTTCGAGGAAGATTACGAAGCAGCTTCTAATGATGCTTAAGTCTGATCTCCCTGGTCCATGTCCCACTTATCGTTCCTTACTACCAGAAAAGAAAAACCGTTGGTTTAGAGGATTTTCAGTTAATATCTTTTTCATTTCCTTCATGTTTAAAGTCATTTAGAAAGACAAGTATGTAAGTACTAACTCATTGTTTCTTATACAGCAAGAGTTCCACTGGGACGTGAGCATCAATGAGCATGTCTGGACAAAAAACATGAAGCAAGCAGACAAGGCATGGATGAAGGCGAGGAAACGTTTGTTTGATGGTTACATAAAGATGTGGACATATGAGAACAAGATCAAGCAAGCTGAGAAAAATTCCAAGAACCGAGGAAGTCAAAGGGGCGGATTAGGTGTTGCTAAACACAACAACGGTGCAAAAACATTTCAACGTCGTTGGGATGAATTGGTTAGTCACTTCTGCAGCCTCCAAGGATAAACCTGCGAGATACGTTCCCCCACCATACAAACCACCTATACCATTTACAGGAAGATTCAAAAAGCAGCAAGCTGAGAATTACAAAGCTCTCTTTGAAAAACAAGTAAAAAATATTGAGTTAAGAAAGCCATTGCTGGATGCATTCGCGCTTGTTCCTCCTTATCAGAAGTTTCTTAAAGATTAAGTTATGGAGAGAGAAATAGAAGTCCAAGGCATGGTGATACTAAGTCATGAATGATGTGCTATTATCTAGAAAAAGATTACTCCCTTGAAGCTTAAGGATCCTGGATCCTTCACTCTACCTTTCTCACTAGGCTCTCTATCATTCAGTAGATGTCTATGTGATCTTGGAGATTTAGTGAGTCTAATGTCATTGTCTGTGGCCAAGCGTTTAGGATTCACAAGATACAAGGCATGCATCATATCTCTCATTCTAGCTGATAGAATAGTGAGGCTCCTATATGGACTATTGGAAGATTTGCCAGTAAGGATTGGTGTTGTTGAAGTCCCTACATATTTTTTTGTCTTGGAAATGGATGAAGAACCTAAGGATCCTTTGATTCTCGGAAGGCCATTCCTAGCCACTGCATGAGCAATTATCGATGTTAAGAATGGAAAGATAGATCTATGCTTGGGGGTCGACTTCAAGATGACATTTGACAACAAAGAGTCCATGAGGAAACCAACGATTAATGGCAAGATGTTCTAGATAGAGGAGATGGATCAGCTAGCTGATGAAATTTTAGAAGAACTTGCTGAGGAGGATCATCTCAAAACAGCCGTGACGAAGAATGGATCAGATGGATTCCTTCATGCTGAGACTAATGTCTACAAAACATTGTTGGATACCTACAAGGCAACTGATGACTAAGAACGTTTTGAAGAGTTGGATGAGTCTGTCAAGGAAGTATGCTCAGTAGAAGAGGAAGTCAATGGCAGCCCGAGCACTCACCTAGCTATTGACCCTATCAATGCGGTTGATAATGACTGGTCAGAGTTAAAAGCTCTCAAGGTTGAGCTCAAACCGCTACCTTCAGGACTCTGGTACGCATTCCTTGGACCCAACTCTACTTACCCTGTCATTGTTAATGCTAGCTTGAACAATGAGGAATTACATTTGCTACTCACTGAACTTAGATAATATAGAAGGGCCCTATGTTATTTCTTAGATGATATCAAGGGGATTTCACCTAGTCTTTTCATGCATAGGATAAATCTGGAAAATGAATCATACTCTAGTACTGAACCTCAAAGGAGATTGAATCCAAGTCTTAAGGAAGTTGAGAAAAAAAAAATTCTTAATGTTGGGGTTATCTATCCTCTCTCTTCTAGTACTTGGGTATTCCTAGTTCATTGTGTGCATTTTAAGGGAGGAATTACATTGATAAAAAATGACAAAGATGAATTGATCCCCACTAGGACTATCACTGGCCATAGGATGTGCATTGATTACATAAAATTGAATGTTGCATCTAGAAAAGACTATTTCCCTCTTCTTTTCATTGATCAATTGTAAGAAAGATTAGCCAATCATCCCTACTACTGTTTCCTTGATAGGTATACTGGCTTCTTCCAAATCTCTATCCACCCAAATGATAAAAAAAGACCACTTTCAGTTTTCTCTGTGGCACATTTGCCTACAGACGCATGCCTTTTGGCTTGTGTAATGCACCTGCAACATTGCAGATGTGTATGACCTCTATACTCTCGGATTTTATAGAGGAGATGGTGGAGGTATTCATGGATGACTTTTCCCTGTATGGCTCCTCCTTCTCCTTATGTTTGTTAAATCTCTGCAGGGTATTGACAAGATGGGAGGAGAGAAGCCTAGTGTTCAATTGGGAGAAGTGCCACTTCACAGTAAATGAAGAGATAGTGTTGGGACACAAGGTATCAGAGAAGGGGATTGAGGTTGATAAGTCAAAGATTAAGGTCATGGTTCAGTTGCAGCCTCTCAAGACAGTCAAGGATATAAGGAGTTTACTTGGACATGCTGGGTTTTACAGAAGATTCATCAAGCACTTCTCAAAAATAGCAAGACCCCTTACAAGCTTACTGTGCAAGGAGGTCGAGTTTGAAGTTGATGAGAGTTGTCTAGAAGCTTTCAACAAAATAAAGGAAGCTTTAGTCTCATCACCAATAGTCCAAGCTCCAGATTGGGATCATCCTTTTGAGATAATGTGTGATGCTTCTGATTATGCAGTACGGGCTGTGTTGGGGCAGCGGATTGAGAAAAAGCAGCATGTTATCTACTATGCAAGTAGAACTGTCTTTGCATTTGAGAAATTTAGAAGTTACTTAGTGGGATTAAAAGTGGTAATTTACACAGACCATGCTGCACTTAGGCATATATACTCCAAGAAGCATACCAAACCGAGACTGTTGAGATGGATACTTCTACTCCAGGAATTTGATATGGAGATTGTGGACAAAAAGGTGATACAAGACTCGGTGTTGAGCTTGTATCAGGATATATATGATGGCTACACAAGATGGGCGTCGCTTCTCTCTTGTGTAGGAAAGATGGTCGTTGATGTAGATCTGACACGATGGCGGTCGCTTCTCTCGTGTGGGATCGAATGAAGGGGAAGTGCTGGCGGATTGAAGTACACCACAGAGATGTGATTGGTCTCTGATATAGTACACGATCTTAGCCTTGTGGAATCACACACACAAGACAAAGAACAAGCTTATTCTCTTAAGAACACTTAAAGAGAAGAAGTGAAGAAAGTTCGGTTCTTTATTGATAATCAAGGGGTAAAAAATCGTACAACTGCTGCAGGGGCACTTTATAAGAGTCCATCAGCTAGCCCTAGGGCCAAAAATAAATGCAAAAAGAATACAAAAGGAAACAAATAAAAAGCAAACACAAAACTCATTGTTTTTTGAAAGAAAATGACAAAATAAAGAAACTAATTGTGCACACTTAAACTCACTTGAAGGGCACGTATTCTAGTCGTTGTTGGGGCTTAGTGGACCTGCAAGTATCGAGAATATTGAATAGAACTTACCTAGATGCGATCTATGCCCAATCGATGTTCTCTGAACTACGTCTTGATCTACTTCATGGGTCTTGTTAGGTGCATGTTTGTTTGTTGGTTTCTTGAAGTAGATGGTTTCTTGTAGTTTCTCTTGGGTAGCTTGATCAGTCTCTTGAAGCTCTTCCAAGTCCTTGATATCTTGTTCTTGATCTTCACTCTCTCGATCACTCTCGAAGGTGAAGCTTGTTTTGCTCGTCTCTTGTGACTCCATTGTCTTCTATTGGATTCTAGAGGTTTCTTGACCTGTCAAAAGAGAATTCATACCTGGGGAAATGGTATGTTCAAGACTCATTTGGGTGAATGCTTCAGCAAGCTCTTCCTCGGCGATGGGATCATATCCGTCATGATGGAGTAACAGTGATATTGTGAATTACAAGGTCTATGGAGAGGTTCCTGCAGACATGGATCCTTATAGGAAGAAAAAGTCTTTTAGAGATGTCAACCACTACTTCTGGGATGAACCTTACTTGTACAAGAGGGGTATAGATGGACTGTTCAGGAAATGTATAGCCGAAGGAGAAGTGAAGGGAGTGCTTGAGCATTGTCATGGCTCCGCATATGGAGGACACTTCGCCATAACCACATCCTCAGGATCTTCTTTCCATTTGTGTTTTCTGTTTTATTACTTGCTGTATACTTGTTCTACTTTGTCTTCTTGCCAGTATTGATAATCATTACGTTTTAGCTTATACATGATAGTCGATGTTTTGCAGCCTTTCATTTATTGCATATATAAAATTTTCGCCTAGGATGTTAGAAAACAAAAATCATTTATGCTTGGCTTGACTTAATCATTTGTGATAAATCTTGATTGCTAGCATCACACCTGATTGCATTGACACCTATTCTATTGCAATGACATGATAGTACTCTAGGGTAATTGGTAGTAAAATCCTAGTATCTGCTATCAATAGTTCATTCCCATGAGTCTGTATCGAAATACACAACTCTCTCTCTATAAAGTTCCCTTAAACTTACATGCTATCTGGACAATCAAAAAACTATGTGTTGCTCCCGAATCAAACAAAACATAAGTGGCATTTCAACCAACATGAATTGTTTCTAGATAATTCAAAAAACATTCAACCACACAACAACATAACAACATTAACTAAGCAATCAAAACAAACAAACATGCAACACATAAAAGCAGGCAAAAACACTCAATTAAAACGAGAGGTTAAAACCCATACTTACCTGTCGGAACCTTTCGGTCATGGAGGTTTAGGGTAATCTAGTCCTAAGGGCACATAAACTCACAAACTCTAACTTCTCCACGAGATTTTTAATACCTAGATAAATTGGTGGCTTGGATGCAGATGCCGCCGAGATGTGTTAGGATTCGTGCTGCCCGACCATGGGAACTGCCAAGAGTGAGCAAGTACAGTTCGGAGGATTCTGTGATTCCATCGGAGCGTGTGAGACGTATCTTGAATCGATCAAAGAAAGAATCGTACATGGCTACAAGTCCTTCACTAACTTTGGTGGAATCGATTGACACTAGGAAAATAGAAGGTTCCGAGTCTTCCATCGAGACTGACCCTTCCGAGGATTTGGATGAATTTAGTGATGACGATGAGATCATCATCTGGATCAAAGATCACATGAATGAAGAATCAGAATCTTTGGCAGAGCTATGTCCAGATGGATTCCAATTACAAATTACTTTGAAATCTCCGTCAGTTCGATCCATGAACCTTTGATTCCATTGAGTGGGTTTGTCCAAGTTACTACATTAAATATGATTGTGTTGACAGATGGTTCAGAAGGTACGTATGGAAATGGCTTTGTGGATGTTGACAGATAGTTCAGAATTTCATGTCTAGCTCAAGAGATTGGTTGTCTAGGATGTTATTTGACATTAATGAGCTGAGTCTTATTGCCTACTCATTTTATGTTTCATCAACCAGAAGTTGAAATTATTAAGTGATTTGAGTTTGATAGCTTTTGTCAAGAGATTGAACTGGTTAGCTTATGAGCTTGTTGTCGAGGAAACATCACTGTTCGTATTTGATTAATTTAGCAACCTAGTGAACTTAAAGATCTCCACTGAAGTCACTATCTCATCCCCAGAACCTCCCTTTAATTGATTGATTTACCTTGCTTTATTTCTGTTCTTGCATTCCTAGTTCACTACGCGCATGTTATTGTTATGTAGTTTTATTTCTGATTTGGCTTAATGTTGTGTCTTGCTTAGTTCTTGCTAGAATTCAATACAATAGTTGATATTTTAAAACCTTTCATGCTTAGCTTAACTTGTTAAATATTGATTGCATCTAAACTGCTTGCACGCGTCCTTATGGTTCGATTAAGCCCTTTATACTACAATTATACTGGGTGATTGATTCCATTAGCACAAGAAACCTGTTATCAGACTTATCTTTGATTACTGGTGTATAATTTTTTAACATTTATTTGCTCATTCACGTTTAGGTTGTGAGTGATAAATTAAAGGAAAGAAAGAAAAAACAGATTCCTCACACTTGTAGCCGTAAAGGAATGGTTAGACTAAGAGAAGAAATGGTAAATGATATGATTTGATACTTTTTATTGTAATCAGCTTTTTTATTCACTAGATTGATGCATATTTGTGTTCTTCACAGAAAATGAAAATCCCAGAGCCATCTAAGGTATCGAGGCTGAAATTTTGGGTTAAGTCGCGTACCCCAAAAGATGGTACGCCAGTGAATACAAATGCTGCTGAAAAGATTGTAAGTTGTGAATTTAACTCAATTTTTGTTTTCAACTTTAGATTCCCTTCTTTTTATAACTTTATGACTTGTTGATTTATGTGCTCTAGAAAAAAGCTGCTGAGGTTGATACTGGGGCACATTCATCACCAACAGATAATCCAAAGGGAGATCTCGTTGCCCAAGTTTTAGGAGCTGATAATCTTGGACAGTTGAGAGTAATGGGTAGAGGAATGAGTATGTCCAAATTTTCTTGTTTCCAAGTAAATAATGAGTGTATGGATCATATGCAAGAAAAGCATTTTTAGATGCATAAACGGGTAAAGGACTTAGAAGATGTCATTGCCAAAATGCGGGAAAACCAGTAGGTCAGTTAGCCCTTTGTTAACATTGGTTGATTAGAAAATTGAATAATTGTTTGATTCTTTATGGCAATAAATTTGGTTTTTGTACAGAGGCAATTCACTGAAGTAGGTGAAAAAAGTGAAAATTAGTTATTACTTTTTTAGATTGAACATTTATATATATTAGTTATTCGAGTTTGGGTAGATATAGTTTTGGTCAAAGATGCAGCAATTTGGAGGAAGTCTTCTGAAATAGAGTGTATGGAAGATGCACATGGTTCCAATATCGCATGGCCAGAAGACAAAGTGGTCTTCTGTTGAATCTAACAGAGTAGAAAGATAAGAGATTTAGTTAATCTTTTTCTTCTTTTTTGTCGTCTAAGATTTAGTTAATCATTGTATGTAAAACTATTGTGTGATGCTTTGTTTAGCTTTTCCATCAGTGTGTGAATCAATTGTATGATTGTTGTAGGGGGAAGAAGAAACGTTGGTCCGAGAATGAAGAAACTTTAGTCCGAATTAGCTAGTTTTATTTAGTGTAAGACTAGGCTAATCTTTTGCTAGTTGTGGAATGTAAGACTAAGCAACTGCTACTAATTAGTCTGATTAGTTAAGTCATGGTATGTTGTTTACTTGGATTAACTTATTAAGAAAGCATGGTTTAATGCATCATATGGTAAAGTTAAGCATGGAATTGGATAGATTGTTTTTATTTTCTTTTACGGTTCTCTTCTCTTTTTTTATCGAATTAAATTTATTAATTATATAATCAGATTTTCATCTTCTTATCCTTTCCTAGAATTCAATTTCTTTGAATCCGATCGCATTTCAAAGCAGGGTAACAGGAAACAATAAAAACTTAAATTTGAAAAAACTTTAGTTAAGTTATTAGTTAGGGATAGTAATTTGGATATATGTGTCTAGGAGACGATATAAAGTTCAATATATAAATAATCCAAATAGTTTAGAGAAATTAAAAAATAAGCTAACCAAATAATGACACAATAAAAAAAAGGGTTCGTACGTATGTGCGTAATCAGCCGTACGGACGTGACTCATCGTACGTACGGATGCAATCACTGTTGTATGAATGTTGTAATCGTTCATACCTGATACCCTAAACCCTACACCCTATACTTATATCTCTTAGTTGAAAGCATTCTACAACAATATATGAAACATGAAATTATCAATATAAATCTTATAACAAAAAAAAATTTAAGCATATTGATTATTATTTTTTAACTCTTGATTTATTATTTATTGCAAATTATGATAATTGTTACAATGACGATTCCACTACCGACAATTCTGTCCGACCCTTTTAGATTCACCATAGATTACACCCTCTCCTGACCCACAATTAAGCGTATTCATTTTATAGATATAAATTATACATATGAAATTATTGAAATTAAAAAAAACTTTAATATTACATTTAGTCACTTATCTTACATTAAGTCATTGTTAATGTATAAAAAAAATTTGTATTAAGGATAATATAATTTTAAAATTTTCCAAACTCAAAAATATAAAACTTCAATTTTTAATTAATTGATTAAGGTGTGGATCACCTAATTCTTCTCATATCTACCGTTGATTAGAATATATATAACGGTCACTAATCAACTCTGTTTTATTAAACTTTTCTTTCTTCTTATTCGATGTCTTCGATGGAAACCCAATAGACTCGCCAAGATGAAGATGGTTTCAAGCTACGACTCTTTCCATTCTCTCTGAGTGACAAGGCACATTAATGGGACAAAACTCTCCCTCCTGGATCTATCACCTCCTGGGATCAATTCAAACAGTCATTTCTTGCCAAGTTCTTCTCAAACTCCAGAACTGCACGTCTGCAACGAGATCTCTGGCTTCACTCAGAAGAATGGTGAAACACTCTATGAAGCATGGGAGCTCTACAAAAGTTATCAGTCTCAGTGCCCCCCCCCCCCTTTGGCTTCATCAAGGAATCTCTCCTTAGTACTTTATATCGAGGCGTTCCCCAAAGATCATGATATTACTTAACACAGCCATCAATGGAAATTTCTGAGCAAGGATGTCGACGATGGTTGGGAGCTTGTCGAGAACCTAGCCCAATCTGATGGCAACTATAATGAAGACTTGGACAGAACCATCCGGGCAAGCACATATCTTGATGAGAACTACAAGAATGAGATGAAAGCTGTGAATGATAAGCTAGGAAGACTCTTGATGAGCCAGCAACGGAACATCCATTTCGTCTCTGAAGAAGACCCTTTCCAGATTCTAGATGGGGAAGGAGAGCAGTCTGAAGAGATAATCTATGTCCAGAACCAAGGTGGATACAACAAGGGATACAAACCTTATAAGCAGAATCCCAATTTGTTTTATCGGAGCAACAATGTTTCCAATCCAAAAAAATCAGGTTTATCAAGCTCCACAACAGCAACAGTAGGGATAAAACAAACCATTTTTGCCCTACAACCAAAATTATGTGCCCAAACAACAATTTCAGTCAAGGTTACCAACCTCCAGCAAGACCACCACCAGGATTCCAACCCAACAAGTTCCGCCTTCTCAGGCCAGACCAGGACATGAAAAACATGCTTCACCAACTCATTCAGGGACAAGCAAGTGCCCATGTGGATAATGCTTAGAAGTTTGCTGAGCCCACTCAAAGATTTGATTGCTCCTGCAATGATCTGAATATGAAGTTTGAAACTCTGAATTCCAAGACCAATTATATGGAGGGAAAAATTGCTTCTACTTCTGCCCCAAAGCATGGCCAACTCCCAGAAAAAGCTGTTCAGAATCCTAAGGAGGTTGCTCATGCCATCACGCTGAGGAGCGGTAAAAACTTGCCTCCCAGAGAAGGATCTATTGATGTCACTAAGGACAGTGAAGACTTGGAAGGGGAGGATGAGATGTTAGAATGAAGATCCGAATGTTCATCTGAAAGAATCAGAAGTCGTACATCACTACAAGAAAACACGTCGATTTCCTATGAACATTTCTACAAAATATTGGTATGAAGAATTAGCTATGGAAAAACTTCGCAATTATGCCGAAAACGGAATGTGGTAGGAAAAACGAAGAGAAATTTACTACGACTAAATGTGTCAGAAAGTGGTAGGAGTTTTTCCTACCAAGTTCTTATAAATAATAGTTTTGAAGGAACTGGTGAAGGAAAAGATAAGGAACGTGGAAGGAAAACGCGCGGAGAGAAATTGGTAGGAATTTTTCCTTCTAAATACCTTCGACTTCAAAATGGTAGGAAAAATTGTAGGAAAACAGAAGATATATGGAGGGAATTACAATGGTAGGAAATATGAGGGAAAGCATTTGTAGGAAATCGGTAGATATATGCAGGGAAATAATGTAGTAGGAAATGCGAAGGAAATTGGGAGGAAATATGTGTAGGAAATTCGAAGGTTACTAGTCGGTGCTAACAAGTTGATAACAAGTTGATAAATGATAATCTAGTGAGTGTGTAAGTTCATAATGCTGCACAAGTTGAGAAATAAGTGTGGTTGGTGGAACAGTATATATTTTGGTAGGAAATATATATGTAGGAAACATATATTTTTGTGCCTATATAAAGAGTCGAATGTTTGTTATGATAATCAAACAAGCTCTCAATTTCACGCATTTCTCTCTTATACATCTATATTCTCTTACGAGTTACGAGTGAGGGTTTTTTTAAAGAAAGTTCTAAGAAATTTTTATTTTTATGTCTTAATTTTTTTTTTTATATTTCACGAGAAATCTTTTTAATATTTTCAATGAACTATTTTCGGTCATGGTTAGACAAAGAAAGATTTTATCCCAACGGCATGCTGACGAGGGATTATGCAGCTGGACTTACCGAATTCATGCATGTCGCTATGAATCAAGAAAGCTGCTTGAGAAGTGGTATGATGTTTTGACCTTTTCCTTAAATTGAAAAGCTTGTAGCTGGTCTCGGTTTGCCATATAAAATGATCGATTTTTGTATCGACAACTGTATGATTTACTGGCAATGAGACGTAGACTGCATAGCTTGTCGATTTTGTTGGAAGCCTCGGTTTCAAAATACTGGTGGAAGGTCTCGAGTGCCAGTTAAGCGTATGTGGTATTTTCCAATAGCAGATCGGTTGAAGCGATTATATCAACAACCCCGTACAGCTTGAGCTATGAGATGGAACCACGAGCATGCGAACCATGAAGTCAGATTGCCCATCCCTCTGGCGCTAAGGCATGGAAACATTTTCAAACAATGTATCCAAGTTTGGCAGAAGAAAACATGAACGTCTACATGGGACTTTGTACAGATGGTTTCAACCCCTTTGGAAAGCATGGACGACAATATCCTCTGTGGCCAGTTATTCTCACACCTTACAATTTGCCTCCATCGTTGTGCACGAAACGAGAGTTTCGATTTCTGTCTTTACTTGTTCCTGGTCCAGAACACCCAAAGAGATCCCTAGACGTCTTCTTACAACCTTTGATTCATGAGTTACAAGCTTATGGGAGTTTAATTCCCCAATGCGATGTAGCATAAGAGGTTATCAGTCCAAATGGATGTATTGTAAGCAATCAGGATATGGCAGCACTAATCAAGTCAAGCCAAGTAACTGAAGGTTTTGTTTAAAGAACTCTAATGCATAAAACTTAACTACAGAAACAATAATGGAAGCAGAAAGTAAAAGCAGAAAGTAAAAGCAGAAAGTAAAAGCAGAAAGTAAAAGCAGAAAGTAAAAGCAGATAATCAATCAGGTAAACAAGGGTCTTAAGGATGGGCTAATAGGGTGATGAATCCTCTTAATCTCTTTGGGATGCTTAACATGCTCAGATAGATCTAATCCTAGACAATGAACCACTTAACCTAATCAGTCCAATCTCTTGGCAAAGATTATCAAATCTATAGCACTTCATAATCTCAACTTTCATTGATGAAACATACTATAAATAGGCATAAAAACAAGCTCATTAATGTCAATCTACTCCTTAACAACCAATCTCTTGGGTAAGTAAATATATCTCTGGCATTAGTTGATCAGATATTCCATTTGAACACTTTTTGAGTGCTGGAATGTCTAAGATCTAATCCCACATAGTTAATGCTAAGATAGCATTAAGATCTCCTAATCCATAATGTATCTACCTAGAAACTAAGATTCGTCATCACCTAACCCATCCTCTAAACCCAGAAAAACTACTCTGATCTAGAGTTAATCATGAAGAACATAAACCCAGAAATCCTTGAATCTTGCATAACTAGATAGATAATGATCTAAGGAGCAAAATATTATAAAAAACAACTCCAAATACTCAATAGATCAAAAGTTATAAAGATTACAAGTTTCTGGAAATGTTTGGTGGCTACAGAGAAAAACCCTAATTAGAACTCGTCCTTGGCTTAATGACCTAAGAGGTCTATTTATACTAAAGGCAGGAAGCCCACACAAAAAGACAAATTACAAACTCCGTTTGAAGAGAGCTCGGTCGGGTTCATGTTGGGCTCGTCCGAGTCCTCTTTCGGCTCGCCCATGTCCGGCTTCCTCCTCTGAGTCCAGGTGCTTGATCGTGCTCGCTTGGTCAGGTTGGATACACTCGATCGGGTCCATGCTTTGTAGTGTCCAAATGTGCCTGTTTTTGCTCTAAAATACAGATGATATGCAAATCCCTATGCTAAAGATCCTAAAAGCGAAATATGTCTTAAGAAGTAGAGATCTAGACATGCAAATAATGCACAAAACATATGCTTAAGAGTATAAAAATATAGGGTTATCAACTCCCCCAAACTTATTATTTGCTTGGCCTCAAGCAAATTCAAAGTAGGGAGAGAGTTTTGAAGGTGGGGACTCAGAACCAAAACTTGCTGCAAAAGAGTTTAACATCAATGTCCTAGTTCGTAATTCTAGAATGCAATTCAAAGGCTGTACTCTGAAGACTTTAGCCATTCCTATTTCAACACAAGATGTCATCAGCCACATAACCTAGACAAGCAATCAAGTCAGCCATCCTTTTTAACATTCATTAAGTAGTAACAGTGAATCCGGATGTGGATTTGAATTTAAACTCATTTGGCTAGGTAAGTAAAAGGTTTAAGAGATAAAGAGAGTCTCTTTTCTGTGAGGGTTTAATCATTTAAGTGCTGGGATCTCTCTATGAACAAGATTGAGCTTTTGAGAGAATGATAAAGGTAAGGACCAACAAATGCATACAGGAATAACATCTTGACTACCCAAAGTACCCAAGTGATATCCTAATTGTCTAAACCCATATGACCTATTCTACCCTTTAGCTCTTTTCATCCCAATTTCCCATTTTGCTCTAAGTCTAAGGAGAGTTTCTTATGATAAACTAGTGGATAGGGGGTTCCTTTATAAACACTATGGTTCTCTTTCTTCTTAATACTTAAGACATAGAAGCGTTTTGCTATCTTCACACTTTTCTCTTTTTCTTTTAAAATCCAGAACCATTTCTTTTCTAAACTTTGCATTCCCCACTTATCTTTCACTAGAACCTTGAAATTTTCTGAAACTTTTACTCTCCTAAAGACTCAACTTATTTCCCTTTTCTTTTCTTTTCTTTTCTTTTCACCATCCCAACAAATCCCAAAACCCAAGTAGAATCCATCCTAGTCCAATCTGATCCGAAAATGCAAATCAGAACTACTCAAGACCCTATTCTTGTCGTCTCAAACCTAACACGTTCTCTTAAAGCTCAATCCCAAAAGGCCTTCCACTCAGAATTAAAACAAAGGCTTGAAGGAAAGGTTAAGGTTTTTAGGGTGTCGTTAACTGGTCAAGGTTATGACCAGCTACTTGGATCAACAAGAGGGTGGTAAAAAGAGGGAAATGAGATCGAAGTATGTATACAAGGTATCCATGAGTTTAAAACAAATCACAACCAGATAATTATCAATTCAAGTTAAGGTTCTTATAAGTAAAGGATGGCATCATATCAAAGCAAGCTTCAGTTTATACTAGAATTCAAATCATGCGATCAAAGAATGGTGCGGTCTCATTTCAAGCTCAAATGAAAGCATTAAACAACTATGAACGAGTGCATTGGTCTTAAATCTAATGAAACAGCAAGTTATTTGGTTATAATCATCATAATCCCCTATGCTAATGCAATGATCCTAAATGCAACATCCCTAAAGCAAGAATAATATGCAAATGCAACTATATGAGCACTCTGTTTTTAAAGGATTTTCTGAAATTTTTCAAATTTTTAGGGGTTTTTGATGCACATAGATGAATGCAACACTAGATGCTAAAAATTCGAAATAAGAAAATAGAAAACATGTCAAATGCTATCCTAAGCTCTCCCCCAAACTTAAATTACACAGTCCCTTGTGTAATAAAAATCTGAAGGAAGACTTAGGATCAAAATGAAAATATAAAAATGCAAACAGGTGACGTCGAGGTTCGCTGTCATATAAAAATGCAAACAGACCGTGTGCATGTTGACTCGACCGAATGGGCTTGTGAAATTGGGTTTTAAGGCCCAAATTGACTCCTTCTTTCTTCTTTCCTTTTCTTGACCCAATAACACCTTTCTTCACTCACAATCAAACATGAAAATACATCAAACTAAAAGGAACATCAAATTATAATAACTTAAAGAAATATGTACAGGGATATCGTTGGGACTTCCTCCCAAGTGAGCTTGTTTATAGTCACTAAGCTTGACTTCGTAAAGTCCTCACGAAGTGGCTGAAAAATGGAGAGGCTCAACAATTCTCTCCAAGGCTAACGACCATTGTATCTGACACCTATTCTTTGCAGCATATCTCTTCTTGAAAGTAAGTACCCTCTTTGCTTTCCTAGAAGTCAAAATGTTGTTCCTCTTCCTTAACACCACAATCTCCTCGGTTAACCCCTGAATAGTAGTTGCTAGCCGCATTAGGTCTTTCTTGAGAGTCTTGATCACTTGGAGTTCAACGCAAGTTGAAGAAGAGGACGAGGTTTCTTCTGTTCTGAACGTTGTACTTTGGTATGGATACGCCATATTGATCTTCATCTTCGTTCCTCTAGCAAGATCAAGGGTCATGATTCCCTTTCTCATATCAATAACTGCACCCGCTGAGGCTAGAAATGGCCTTCCGAGAATTATTTGATACTGCGGTTCTCTTTTCATCTCCAGAATCAGAAAATCAATGGGAATCTTTACTCCTCCAACTTCGACAAGGAGATCCTCCAGTACTCCTATGGGTTGTCTTGAGCTCCTGTCCGCCATCACAATCGTCAGGCTGCATGGTGTAAATGTTGTATTGCCCATCTGCTGAGCTATTGAGAGGGGCATCAAGCTAATCGAAGCACCTGAGTCGCATAGACACTCGTTGAAGATCGTTGATTTGATTGAGAAGGGGAGTGTGAAAGCTCCAGGATCCCCCATCTTCTTGGAGAAACCAGAATATTGAGAGGGTGGAGTCCAACTCTTCCTCTGCTGCATCCTTTCCAGTAGAACTTCTTTGAGAATCTCCCTATAGGAGGGAATGTTGGCGAAAGCATAAACTAAAGCCTTCATCTGGTCATTCCCTGATAGAGAATCGAGAATGTGGTTATACTCTTCCTTGATTTTGGCTTTAGATTCTTCTGGGTAAAGTAGTGGTCTTTGGTTCGAGGGCTTGGGGCTGGTAGTTCTGATCGGGCGAAGAGGCTCGTCGGAACTTAATTCACACAACCGGTCAGACAAGCAGCGTACACGATATCGGGCCCGATCGGATCCGTGGTACCCTTGATCGGACCTCTCGGATATGTGGTAGACTCGATCGGGTTCAGTGTTGGCACGGTCGTGTTTGTTGTGTAAGACAAAAGTTTGGGCTGAATCCTCCCCCTCTTGAACCTCACTGTCCTCAGTGATAGTTGGGTATGGACTTCCCAGAGTAGCCGCATGAGCAGTAGCAAATTCTTTAGGGTTCATGATAGACTTTCCTGGGAGTTGGCCGGAAGAAGTGGAGGTTTGGTTGCCTTCCAAGATAGCTACCTTTTTGCTTAAAAAATCGAACTTCTTGTTTAGCTCGTGTATAGATGCATTCATATCGTTTTGAAGCTCGGCTAACTGCTTGGCTTGATCAAGACAGCTGTTGTTCTGTGCTTGGAGAAGTTGATTAAGTGTTGTTTGAACATCTTGTTCTGGGTGTGCATGAGTAGGGTGCTGTTGGAACCCTGGAGGATGTGCTATAGGTTGTTGATAAGAACCTTGGGACTGTTGTTGAGGTTGAAAAGTGTTTTTGATTAAAGCGAACAAATGGCTTGTTCTGGAACTGTTGTTGTTGAGGCGGATAGACTTGATCTTGAGGGTTTGCAACGTTGGTGCTTCTATAAGACAGATTCGGGTTGGGTTTAAAGTTGTTGTAACCCTTTTGGTAACCTCCTTGATTTTGGATATAGCTCACCTCCTCAGTATTGTCACAATCACCATCATTAGGTTGGAAGGTCTCCTCCTCTTGAACAAAGTGAACATTCTTCTGCTGGTTGATCAAAAACTTATCGAGCTTGTCGTTAAGTGCCTTCATATCCTTCTGATACTTGTCCTCTTGGTATGTGTTGCCCCGAACGGTTTTGTCATAATCCTCGTTGTACGTTCCATCGGATTGAGCCAGATTCTCCACAAGTTCCCAACCAGCTTCAACATCCTTGTTTAGAAAATTACCATTGCTGGCAGTATCGAGAAGTAGGGGAAACTTAGGTAGTATCCCCCGATAGAGTGTACTAAGCAGCGACTCGTTGCTGAAACCGTGGTGAGGCGCTGTGACTGATAGCTTTTGAATCTCTCCCACGCTTCATAAAACGTTTCATTGTTGCGCTGAGCGAAGCTAGAGATGTCGTTCCTCAATCTGGTGGTTCGTGCATTGGAGAAGAATTTGGATAGGAATGCTTTCTTGCACTCCTCCCAAGTCGTGATTGATCCGGCTGACAAAGACTTCTCCCATTGATGAGCCTTGTCGCCTAAGGAGAAAGGGAACAGTCTCAGCTTGAACCCGTCTTTGCTCACCCCGTTGATTTTTGTTAAGCCACACATTCGATCGAACTCATCGAGGTGATCGAGAGGATCCTCCATTGATAATCCATGGAATTTATTTCCTTGTATCATTGAAATGAGGCTGCTTTTTATTTTGAACTTGTTGTTTTGTACTACTGGCGGGACTATCCCTTGTCTAGTGGTGTGGTTTCGTGGGGCATCACCGGCTCCGATTAGGGTTGGGGTGCGTGGTGGAGGCTCCATTTCCACTTGCTGAGTGTTGATGTCTGATGCTTGAACGCGTTGCTTTCTTGAGTTGTCTAGGCAAGCGGACAATGTTGTTGAGGTAATTGAGTAGGTGCTGGTTGTTCTTGGATCTAGTGTGCATGCAAGGTTGCTCGATCAGAAACATGTGGTAGGCTCGATCCGATCTGCAGGTGGCTCGGTCGAGTGCAGATTGTAGCTCGGTTGAGTGCAGAATGTAGCTCGGTCGAGTGTACATGAAATGCAAGACAAACAAGTAGCAAAGGTAGAAATCAGTGAGAGAACAGAAACGAAAGTAAAAGAACTTGATCTAGATAGAACTGAGATCCTAAATGGAACAAATAACATCCAAATGGTAGCGGCGCCAAATTGAAACAAGGTTTTTATGTGCCCTTGGAGTTCAATTCCCCAATGCGATGTAGCATAAGAGGTTATCGGTCCAAATGGATGTATTGTAAGCAATCATGATATAGCAGCACTAATCAAGTCAAGCCAAGTAACTGAAGGTTTGATTTAAAGAACTCTAATGCATAAAACTTAACTACATAAACAATAATGAAAGAATAAAGTAAAAGCTGATAATCAATCAGGTAAACAGGGGTCTTAACAATGGGCTAATAGGGTGATGAATCCTCTTAATCTCTTTGGGATGCTTAACATGCTCAGATAGATCTAATCCTAGACAATGAACCACTTAACCTAATCAGTCTAATCTCTTGGCAAAGATTATCAAATCTATAGCACTTCCTAATATCAACTTTCATTGATGAAACATACTATAAATAGGCATAAAGAACAAACTCATTAATATCAATCTACTCCTTAACAACCAATCTCTTGGGTAAGTAAATAGATCTCTGGCATTAGTTGATCAGACATTCCATTTGAACACTTTGTGAGTGCTGGAATGTCTAAGAACTAATCCCACATGGTTAATGCTAAGATAGCATTAAGATCTCCTAATCCAGAAGGTATCTGATAAGTACAGAATCACTTATCAAAGATAACTAGAAGATGATAAGAAAACAAAAGAATAAGATAGAGATACATAAGAATTTAAGAAGAAGAGAGGAGAGGAACAGAGAAGAGGAAGAAGATGATGTTCATTGTTTTTAGGATCTAAATCGATGAAACATTACAAGAGAAAGCGTTTGACTTAAATAACAAACCAAGGATAAAAGGCATGAACCATATAGCTCCATCTTTTATTCAATGAGTCCAATAAAAGCCCACTAGACTCAGTTACGTTCTTATCAATACCGCCTCGTTGAGTTCCACCATGTCCTCATGGTGGAAGAAACTGAAACTCTGCAAATCCAGTCGATGACTTGTGTGATTGACCCACTACCTTCATCCTTTTAGCTTCAACATTCATCTCTGCATTGTCAAACTTCCCCTCAGTTATGGAAGTGTTCTTTTCCTTACCTTTCAAGAGATAGGTATGCACACAAAAGAGAATTGGGTCTGAGCCAAAAGAAGTTTGGCTTGCTCCATTTCTCCCAGGCTCACACAAATAGCACCAGGTTGTGTTGCCCAGGAAATTGACTACTTCTCCCACATCCTTGAACTGAAACTCTTCCGTTAACATCGAATGAGGTCCCTGTTTTGTCACTCCAAATCTAATTCTCCTGAGACAATCGCAAAAGAATTCCGTTAACGGTAAATTCTGAGCCTGACAAAACTTGTACAGCCTATTTCCTTCGTTGGAGTCTTCCACTTGATAAAAGTCACTAGTGATCTTGTTGTCAAACTTCCGGATTGGCTTCATCTCAACTCTTTCACCATGCATAACCTTACTCTCCCCTTTTGAAACTACATTGTCCTCAAGGTAGTAATCCACAACAAGTCCATCTTTGCTTCTTTGTTCTTATTCAGTCCCTTCTTGCTCATTTCCGCTCTTCATCTTTACTTTTCTATTGTTTATCAACAGCTTCTCATCCGTACCGCCGAGAGTGATCCATTTATGGTTGTGAAGGAATGACAATTTGCGTTCTTGCCAATTAACACTTGTCTCTCCCAGCTTAGAGAGCCACCCATAACCCAAGATTACCTCTGCTCCAGTCTTGTTCAATTCTAGGACGAGAAATTCCTCAACGATCTCAACATCATCAATGAGCAATTTGATTCCCTTACAAACGCCTTTACTCTTGTTGTGCACACCGTGTCCCATCAGCACTGAAATTGTTCTTTTCGTTCGTATTGGCAATCTTAGATGCTTAGCCAATTCTTCTGAAATAAAATTTTGTGTAGCCCCGAAATCAATTGCTAAAACTATCCTATTCCCTGAGAGAGAACCATATAATTTTAAACCCATGCTCTTAGTGAAATATGTCCTTGACTGTTCAGTAATCCGCTCCATGGTAGTGGAGGAACGTGTATCACCATGTCCCATAGTAAGGCGCATCAACTCCTCTTGAACGGTTTGGTAGCTGCCTAGGTTAGTTCTCCTTGACGTCACACTTCCTGAGGCTATGACTTCATTACTTTCTTCCAGCCATTGTGCTAGATCCATCATTTGTACAATTCCGTTTGGATGTAGATTTCTAACTGCAGTTTGTAGACTAGGCTTTAGTCTAGTTGTTGTCCCGGTAAAAGCTCCGACTGGAGACAAAGTGCTTCAAAATTCTCTCTATATTCTGCCACTGTTCTCTCTTGTAAAAGTCCTAAGAACTTTGGCTGGCTGGTTGGCCGAGAAACTCCCACTAACTCATGTCGAATCATCAACTTGAACTCATCCCAACTCTTCGGTGACTGTCTTTCCCAAGCTCCTTTGATCCATTGACCTCCGTGTCCTTGCAAGGTTGCATAAACAACTTCCAGTCTCTTGTCCTCAGAAATGTTGTTTTGGAAAAAATAGTTCTCAAACTCGTGTATCCACTTCTCCATGTCAACCCAGGATCCTTTTTCTTGAACACCATTCTGATATAGTTTTCGAACTCTTTCTTCTGCGTGTTCAGCCACTATCATATCTTGTCTGAACTCTTTATCCATTTGATAAGTTTTTTGTTGAAAACCAATGTGGAGGACTGTTGTAGTATCAACTTCGTAACTATGTTCTTGGTGTTTCCAGCCATCTTGTTCCCATGCCCTTAAAGATTTTGTCCCCAACATTGACCCATTTCTTGCAACTTCAACACCAATAGGGACTGACGTTTCTTTATAATTAACTGTAACTTCCCTGGATCAACAAGGTTTCTAGGTGACTCCTCTATTGGTTCAGTTGCTTGGATGTAACCATCCATGTACTCTCGCTGTCGGTGACGTCGGGTGCGTTCACGTGATCTCCTTCTCCCCACCACTATATCATCAGACTCCTGCGATGCATCATATTCAGAGGTAGAACCCTTTTTCCTAACCATTCCCACTGTCGTCTGCATTTGCCGAAATAACAATAGTTGAGATCTAACTCTTGATTCAAGCACGGAAGATCAAAGTCGTTTACCATGCTTCTTCATGGTGACTTGTGTTGCCGATACCCTCTCGTGGCGATTTTTCCGCGTTAACTTCCTCCTTGTCTTATGATAACTACGTGTAACCAGGGTATCTTCTACCCTTTGAGCGTGGCCTACGCTTGGAAGCTCAAAAACCCAAGGATTGAAAGAAGCTTCAGGAGTTGGAGTGCTCACCATATGTTCGACAGAATTCCTAAGAGAATTTTCAGTGATCGCTTGAGGTGTCATGTCTGGTCTCGCGGTGTTGATCTGCTTTGGTGTAAGACCTGGTGGTGTAGGATCGGACCTCTTTCCCGGAGAAAACATGGGTGAACCGCGCGTTGAGACTGCTAACGGCGGCAAGGTTAAGATCCCGTCACTTGTAGCCTCGATTGGAGCCGCATGTTTGCCACAGATCTCTGGATTCAAGTAGCCTTGGGTCAGATATGCGACTTGGGAACTAGCAACGGTACCGTTTCTTAGATCTTTGATCTCGCGACAAAGCCGTTCGAGAGTATCACAAACAAGTTTCAGAGTCTCATTTTTTTGGCTTATTGTCTCCGTGTGAGCTTCGAGCTTCGTTTCCAGCTGGGTAACACGTGTGGCAAGCTCCGTTACCAAAGGCGTAGCTTGAGTCGACGAAGGATACATTGTTCCCATTCACTTGAAAGCACCAATTTGATAAGTACATAATCGCTTATCAAAGATAACTAGAAGATGATAAGAAAACAGAAGAATAAGATAGAGATACAGAAGAATTTAAGAAGAAGAGAGCAGAGGAACAGAGAAGAGGAAGAAGATGATGTTCATTGTTTTTAGGATTTAAATCGATGAAACATTACAAGAGAAAGCGTTTGACTTAAATAACAAACCAAGGATAAAAGGCCTGAACCATATAGCTCCATCTTTTATTCAATGTGCCCAATAAAAGCCCACTAGACTCAGTTACGTTCTTATCAGTATCTACCTAAATCTATACTTAAGCAACCCTAGAAACTAAGATTCCTCATCACCTAACCCATTCTCTAAACCCAGAAAAACTACTATGATCTGGAGTTCATCATGAAAAACATAAACCCAGAAATCCTTGAATCTTGGATAACTAGATAGATAATGATCTAAGGAGCAAAATATTATAAAGAAACAACTCCAAATACTCAATAGATCAAAAGTTATAAAGAATATAAGTTTCTGGAAATGTTTGGTGGCTACAGAGAAAAACAATAATTAGAACTCGTCCTTGGCTTAATGACCTAAGAGGTCTATTTATACTAAAACACAAAAAGACAAATTACAAAGTCAGTTTGAAGAGAGCTCGGTCGAGTTCATGTTGGGCTCGTCCGGGTCCTCTTTCGGCTCGCCCGTGTCCGGCTTCCTCCTCTGAGTCCGGGTGCTTGATCGTGCTCGCTTGGTCGGGTTGGATACACTCGATCGGGTCCATGCTTTGTAGTGTCCGAGTGTGCCTGTTTTTGCTCTAAAATGCAGATGATATGCAAATCCCTATGCTAAAGATCCTAGATGCGAAATATGATGCAAAGAGACTAGAAATCTTAAGAAGTATAGATCTAGATATGCAAATAATGCAGAAAACATATGCTTAAGAGTATAAAAATATAGGGTTATCAAGCTAGTAGATGGTCCAATGGCACTTGCACAAAGTTCACCAGCTTACTACACCCGTGGCTATGCATTCAAGGTTTATAAGGAGAGTGAGAGTAGGAAAACCATTAACTCTGGTGTTAGTACGAAAGCCGGTGATATGATATATTACGGAGTTCTAAAGGAGATTTTGGAGATAGAGTTCCCTGGTGTTATAAATTTGAAATGCATAGCTTTTATGTGTGACTGGTACGATCCATCAGGCGGACGAGGAGTTCGTGTTGACAAATTTGGAGTAACTACAGTTAGAACATCAAGGAAACTTGATAGGTATGATCATTTCATCCTAGCATCACAAGTAGACCAAGTTTGTTACATTCCATATCCTCGTGATACCAAAAAACAAGATTCGTGGGTTACGGTTACACAAATAAGCCCTAGAGGGAGGAGCGTACATGGAGTTTTAGAAACCGGTCCTTTACAGCAGACATTTGTTGGGAACATACAAGCTGTTGATCTTATCCTTGATGAAACTTTCGACTCCCAATAGAAGAAGAGACAATCATCGATGAGATTTTGAATGTTTCTGAAGAAGAGCTTGGAGAGTTTGAAGAAGATTCAGATTCAGCATCTTCTGGATCAGACTCAGAGTCGGAGTAATAAACATTTATTGTTCTAAAAAACATATCCTCAATTATTTCCTATATTTGAAAAAGAAATATTTGCTTTTTTGTAATTCTAAATGAATTTCAGTATTATCCAAAGTTTTCTTTTAAAATTCCACACATAAACGTCAAAATATATGAACATTTTAGTTGCAATAAATAAGTCTCTAACCTTCTAAACACTAATTAGATATTTATAATTTGTATACAATATGTTTATAAAGTACTAATTTGTATAATATTTTTATTGGGCCTATAATTATAAATATTTATAAACATAATATTGTATCATTTGTATAAAGTACTAATTTCTATAATATATTTTCATAAATTTTACTTTCTTTATAAACTACTAACCACAATATAAATAATTATAATTTTTTTTAAAATTACAAATGTCAATGAAATTATTTATTGGGCCTATCACAAATATAAGGATTTTAGGCATAAAATCAGATTGGGCCGTACATAAAACTTTTTGGCCTTGCAAAAATATGTTGGGCCTTGAACAATAGTCTTGATCCAATAAGGAAAAAGATGAAACCCTAAACACTCTAACCTTCTTCCTTCTCCTACGCCGTCTCAAACATCTGCGATTTTCTTTCTTCTCACCATCGTTTCTCCTTGCTTCTCACCATCGTTTCTCCTTGCTTCTCTTCTCAGCCCTAAGCTTCTGTTCGCCACCAGCTCAATCGACAAGAAGTGAGGATCTACTTCTTCTCAACTACTGCATCGAAGGTGGTATCTTCTCACCTCTTATTACCCTCTTAGTCTCCTCTTCTTATTTCTATTTTGGCTGCTTAAAAGTTCTAACATTTCTACTCTTTTTCTTTGTGTGTAAATACAAGGCGGGTCCACGTTTCCTCTACAATATATTGCATTCAGCACAGTAACGTGCAGCTCACAGCAGCTTTCCAAATGTCAAACCGGAACCAATTTGAGCAAAGAAGGAGAGAAGAGTTCTCTCGGACTCCTGTACCACCTCTCCATTTATCAGTAAGTAACTATCAATTCATTGTTTTTTACAAGTCATAAAAAGTTTGAATTTTACTTAGGTTGAGAACTGAATTTGGTTTGTGATTTTCCAAACTTAATGAATCGATTGTGTCTTCATTACTCCTTGCTTCTGTCATATGCATGGGTGTTATAGCCATGTCATATAAAAAAGTGTTTGATAAATGATGATTAGCTGCTAGTCTTCGCCACTCCAGCATCGTAGTGTCCTCATCTACTAATAACTATATTTATCATTTTTAAACCCAAACAGCCATGCGTTTACTACTCGATCCCTATGTTTCATCTATGTTTTTTAATATGAATTTGAAAGAAGAACAGGAAGCTTAACATAGTGTCTCTCGTATTTTTATATGTTTAGGTGGAAGTCATTAAAAGTGTCGATTTTACTTAAGTTCATTACTGAATATGTTCTATATTATTGTTCTATGTTAAAAAGAAGGAGGTTAAAGTATTAGTAATCTTCAGAGATCATTTTAGACTTTGTAACTAATGCCAAATTATCGAGAATTTTTGAAGAAAATCCTAACAGCCTCCTAACAGTCGATCAGAGAGAATGGTGCATGCGAGAAGGGACCAGATGGCCCGAAACGTAAAGGAATGGACCAAGCCAAATGAATGGACGGTCAAGATTAAATGTTTACAAGAACGAATCTCGAGGAAGATTCCTCGGAACACTTCCATGTTTTCAGGGAACATGTCCGACTAGGTGTCGCCACCGGAGAGGTGAAGCCGACATGTGTCGCGACCGATTTGACGAGGGTTAAGCTATTCCGACATTTATCAACGGAGTTCATTTATTTGCTGGGAATGATTTGACTAGGGTTGGATGTCTACGCCATGAGTCAGTGGAAGTCCGCCATGTGTCGTCGGAGATCCGCCACTTGTTCGGAAGAGGGACATGTGTCGCGACTGATGTGAAGAGGGACATGTGTCGCGACTGATGTGAAGAGGGTTCCTAGAAAAATCTCACTCCTTCCCCTATAAATAGAGGTGGTCCTACGGCATTGAGCACAAGAGAAAATCTGAGAGTTCATTAGAGAGCTCTCTCGAAAGATTATAGAGCGAAGCCTTGCCAAACTGTTGGGCCACCGAAGATTGACGGTGGAGGAGGAGTATGAGAAGGAACGCTGAGGAGAAGAAGAGTTGACGAGAAGGTTTTGGCCGGATACGAGAAAGTTCTTAGCCAAAGACGATAAGTACACACACAACACACACAAGAATCTCGATAACCCACAGTGAGTCTCGAAGCACGTGAATGTGGCACATGATAGATTCTGTTTTTTCTTACTTGTTGATTGCAGTTTTTGATTGATGAGTTTAGTCAAGATCTATTTCGATCGGGACTTGGTGTCAGATCGAGTAGATGTGATGATGATGTTGAAATCCACTTGGTGTGGTGAGACTGTGGACTTAGGCAAGAAGTCATGTATGTTTTGTATGAGTGTTGCATTTGTTGCATATAGTTGTAGGTGATACGTGAATTTCCCATTGGTCGCTCCTGGGCACATGAAACGACGGCTCAGCAGGGATGGGTGGCACCTTAGGCTGAATACTACCCGACGGGATGGTGTTGAGGCAGACATGATGTGTCACTCAGTGGATTACTATATTCGGGTCCTACGTGGTAACAGATTGATGTAATCAGTGTTGGGGATGGAGGAATGTGATCACGTGGCCATAATTTTGTTGAATCAAGTCTAGATAGAGTTGCATATTTAATTTTCGTGGTGCATAATCATTGTTTACTCTCATTGTTTGATTGATTTCTTGCTTGCAAAGGTTGCATGATAGATTTTGTGTTTATTTTGGGTTGTGGGTTGGGTGTTTAATTACCGAGTAGGAGAACCAAACTAACTGAGTGAGTAGCACTCATGTATGAGTGTTGCATTTGTGAGTAGCACTCATATATAAAACCATTACCGATTCTGAGATGTTGGAGAAACCTCAAAAACAATGCACGCAACAACACTTTAATGAAACGCACAAAAGTAGAAAAAGGACAGTCCTCAAGAGGCAAGTCTCATTAAAGTTCATTTATTTACAAATTTCCCACTTATCCTTTGATTTGATTATTTTAACCCACCACAAAACTATATTAGTATTTTTGCAAAATTTTTGTGCAAAATAATTGGCATTTTAGTACTATGTATAATTAGAAATATCCACATTTTTACTATACTCTATTATTTATTTAGCTTGCCATTCCTCACCAAAAAATCTTATTTACAATGATACCATTAATATTTAATTAAATTATTTTCTTTCTTTCTGATCATATATTTTTATTAGTTTTTTTTTTTCGTTTTTTTCTTTTTTACATTCTCCATTCAATTTAAAAACTAAAATATTAGCCAATGAATTTAAATAAAAAAATCAGATATACTAAAATCTATGTTTTTTGTCTATTATATGATATGCGTTTTGTTTGTTGATTATATTTGATAATAACAAATGACTTTTATGGCGAGAAGTGTTTGAATTATGCTATCTCTACCATTCCCTTTCTCACAAACAGTAATACACACCCATTTCCCCTATTATAAAATAGTACATGCACTAAAATTCCAATTATTTTATGAAAACGTGTTAAAATGCCAACACTCCCAAATCACTAGATTACGTTAATATATGTATTTGTATGAAAATGTGCGGCTGAAATTTTACCTGACTGAATGATTCCGTAATATATGTTTACATCTGCTAAGTCGCGTGTTTGATTAGACTTATTTTAAAAGACAATATTTTATTAATAATAGTTTAATAGATCAAGTACTTTTATTCCAACCAATAAAAAATTAGGTATTAAACGTCCAAATAAAAGTAACATGGGGTATTTTTAAAGAATATTCTTTAAGTTTAATAGAATGTTTACAAATTGTAAATATGTAAACTCTATAAGAAGTTTAGTATAATTAATATTTTAACTCTTAAATCATTTAAAATATTACATTTTAACTACATATAAATACACGGGTTGTATGACGGGAAGTGTCTAAATTATGCTCATTATCAAATACACAAGTTAATATAGATTTAAATATCTTTAAGTTTATACTTAAAAACATGTTAAAAAATTATTTTACTATCTTTTAACAACACCAATATAAGACATGTTAAATCAAACTGATTTAATTAAGTTTGATTTTATGCAGTTTAAATATCGTTTTAGCAAATTTCATCATAAAAAATTTGAATTGAAAATAGAAAATAAAAAATATCTCCCGAGGTGTACCATGGGTTAAAATCTTGTACTATATTTTATATATAAATGGATGATTTAATTGTTTCAAACTTATTTAACAACTTTTCAATTATTATATAATAACTCACATATATGTGGGGATTAATCTAGTTTAACTTAAAATATTTCAAATAAGAAAAATGTTCAAAAGGCCCGACCCGTTTTTATTATAATCAATTAAATCAGCTTAAACCTACTAAACCATGTTAAACCAATTCGAATCAAATTAACCCATTTAACTAGATTAAACCGATAACCCAGATTATACCAATTCAAATCAATTTAAGCCATCTAAATCAACTCAATCAATTTAAACCGAGTAAACCAAATTAATCAATTTAAACAAAGTAAACTAGCTCAATCAATTTTAACCAAGTAAACTAGCGGAAGAACAACAGAAAATCAATCCAACAATCCTAACATGCTACTAAGTTCTAGAAACTAACAACCTAGCAATGTCATAACAGAACATAGAACAACCAGCGAGTTCCTAGATAATCCTCCTCTCACTACTTTGATTTCACGGTCACACTTTGCTTTTACCTTCGTCACAAAAAGAGATGCATAATTATTGTCAGAAATATTCAGTGAGTCAATCATCCTAATAACTGAGGTATACACACAAGGGAAAATATCACATTCAGGCAAAATCAAGTAAAATAAACATGAAACAGCAAACTCATCCGCTTCTTGAGGACTAGTGTCGATTGCATCTTGTTAACACCTGAAAAACATTATCTTAAGTAAATAAAGCGTTTTGAAAAGCGCTATGTCATCGACCACTTTAGATAAAAAAATTTTTGACATGTTATTGTATTTATATATACAATAACCTTTTTATACCTGTAATAATTAACTATACAATAGAAATTATGTTTTCTTATTTCTTTTTCTATTTACAACAAAAACATATATACTTAAAATAGCATTGGTTTTCTACTATTTAAAATGCCATATTTTCTTTTATTTATATGAAATCATCATACAAAAAATCTTTATTACAAAGTAAAAGTACTAATTGCGAAAACCCAAAACAAACAAAATGGCAGATTATAGAAGTAAAAGAACACAAGAACGCATTAAAAACTCTACTACCCCTTAACTACGCCGGGGCCTAAAACCCGTACCCAATTACCCAACCCGGAACCCGACCCGAAAAACCGGTTCGGATAGGGTATGGGTATAACCTTATTACTCCATTGGGTTTATATTGAGTAACCCGCGGGTTCGGGTTCGGTTCTGGGTATTACCCGTTACCCGTATTGGTACCCGTAGAACCCGATACACGAGTATAACACTTAACATATTTATTATTTATGGTGTTTGTTTACATTTTAGTTTTTCTTATCCTCCTCCTGGACTCTCGACGAGTCAGCTAAGTTTCCGAAATTTAATGGATCCTTTGATTTTATCTCCGATGCTCTATATTTCATCAAATCTTCAAAGATACAATCACACAAATTAGAAACCCTTGCTGCTAACCTCTTGGAGACTTTACCGTCGCCGTTGAAAGAGATTAACTCGCCACCGTCACCAACTCAGCATTTTCACGAAATCAATCTGAGGTTAGTTCTCTTTCTCTTTAGTTTAATACTTCGATTTCTCATATTTGTTGTTCTATTTTTATTTTTTGAGGTTAATACTTTGATACTTCGATTTCTCATTTTTATGTTTTTTTCTTATTATTTCAATACTTGGGCTGCCTATATCTGGCCACCTGTAAAATACGGTTTCAACTAGGATCCACCTCTACTTTCACACTCTATCCAATTTCACCTGAACAAATTTTTTCTTCCCAATTCCACCTAAACTACATAATTTCTACATAACTAACCAAAATCAATTAATTTTGTGTTCATAGAAATGTATGTGAATTCTAAAATCGAAATTGTGACGTTTTTGTTATTAGAATTACCCCAAATCGATTTTAAAGATTTTGATTCGGATTTTGGTTTTACTAACTAGAATTTGGGTAAAAAAAATCAATTAAGCTGTTAAAAATGGGATTTTGTGTATCTTAATTCGCGTTACAGTACACGATTAACTGATCCCGAATGGATATTTTTTTGACCCAAATTCTAGTCAATAAAACTCAAATCCGAATCAAAACTTCTAAAATCAATTTGGGGAAATTTCTAAGAACACAAAAACCCCAATTTCAATTTTTAGGATTCGCAGAAATTTTTAAGAACACAAATCAATTGATTTTGGTTTATTATGTAGAATTTTTTAGTCTAGGTGAAATTGGGAAGAAAACAATTTGTTCAATACTTCGATTTCAATTATGGTCATAAACACTGAATCTTTAATTTAATTTGTTACTAGTAGATTCGTATTCTTTTAAAAAAAACAATAAACGTTAATTGTTTTCTTCCTAGATGTGTTACTGATTTTGTCATTTGGTTGTGTCGTATTGTACTAATTTTTAAAAACAATAAACGTTATTTATGGTGTTTTTTTTACTAGATGTGATACATCACTTATGTTTCTCTTGTCAAAACATAATATATAAGTGTAATTGTTCCAGGTCTAGTCTATAAATATATTTGTTTGAGATGCAAACAGACAAAGGAAATGACTTGTGTGTTGTGAATCTCGAGTCATAGCAAACGTCTAAACTCTAAACGTATAAGTTGTGTCGTATTGTCATTTTGTTGTGTGATATTGTTACTAATTTTGTCATTTTGTTGTGTCGTATACTCGTATTCTAAAGATTCACAGGAAACGTATTCAACATGGACACTTTAATTCATTGGTTTGCTTCTAAATTTTTATATGTAGATGGCGTCTTCTAATTATCCACCATCCGCTTGTGATACTGAAATCAATGGAACTGATGAAGATATTCCCACTCCTACTTATAAAAATAAGGGAAAGAGAAAAGAGAACGCCAGTGATGAAGATGCAGAAGGTACTAGTGCTAAGAAGATGAAGACAAGGTCATGGGTTTGGGATCACTTCACCAAAATGGGGAAAAAAAAAGAGAAGTGCAAACGCCACTATTGTGGGAGACACTTGGCTTGTCCTAGTAACAATGGCACTTCTTCAATGAGGAAGCATCTACAATTGTTATGTAAAGAATAAAATGTATGGCAAAATGCTCATAATAAGGATACTCAAACTGTTTTGTCTCCTGCTGGTGCTGGCGGTAGTACTAGAGTTAGGAAGGTTTCACAAGCAATAGTTGGAGAATCTACTAATGAGTTCATGATTCTTGCGGAATTACCATTATCTTTCGTATATTTCTTAGCTTGGAGACATTTATGTTCCAAAGTTCAACTGTATAAGCCTCATTCTAGGAGAACAGCCACAAGAAATATGTGGAGCTTTATGTTAATAAGAAAGCTTCTATGAAGAAGATTCTTGGGCAGAACAAGCAAAGGTTGTCATTGACTATAGACATATGGGTCTCAACCACTACTGGAGCCAGCTATATGGTAATAACAGCTCATTTTGTTGATGTTATGTGGAAGTTAAGGAAGATGGTAATAGGATTCAAGAACTTTTCTGATCATAAGGGTGAGACAATATGTAATGTTCTACTTGAGTGTCTAGCTGAGTGGGATTTAAAGAGAGTGTTATGCATTAATGTGGATAACGCTACAGCAAATAGTTCTGCTATGGTTAAATTTAAGAAAGCATTGAAGCAAATCTCAGATGATGCATTGATACTGAAAGGTGAATATATGCATTTAAGGTGTGCTACTCACGTATTGAATTTGATTTTCAGAGAAGGTAGATTACGGCGTGGCTGCTTTAGATGTCAAAACAAGATGGAACTCTACTTATCTCATGTTAGAACAAGCTATGAAGTTTAGATTGGCATTTGAAAGGATGTAGGCTGAAGATAAAGTGTATAATGATTGTTTTCAGGAAAAGGTGGATGAAAAGAAAAGAGCCGGACCACCTATGCCAAATGATTGGGATGAAGTTGACAGGTTGGTTCAAACTCTTGGCAAATTTTATAAGTTTACATTGGTTCTTTCAACTTCAATTTCTGTTGCATCTCATAAACTTTACAATGAGATAGTTTATGTTACTAAAAACCTATCTGCATTAACCGTGAGTATGAATCCTGAAGATGAGCGTTTGAAAAGTAAAGCTTTGTCTATGTTATCAAAATTGGAGAAGTATTGGGATCCATTTGGGAAGCAGGTTGAAATGAATAGGCTTGTGATGGTAGCAAATGTTTTTGACCCTAGAAAAAAGATGAAATTTGCTGAGCTCTGTTTTGATATGTTGTATGGGAAAGACAGTGTAAAGTCTACTTGATGCGGACATCGATTATCCTGTCCACCCGCTGAACTAGATCAAGTACCAGATCCTGTACCACACCCTGTACCAGTCGTCCCAGTAGGTCCCATGACTCGTTCAAAGTCTAAACAACTTAGAAAGAGGTTCAGACTAGCAGTACAAGACATTGTGAGCTCACTAGAGCTGAACTACGTCAACTGGTCTGTACCACCTTTACTCCATCACGACGGATATGATCCCACCACCGAGGAAGAGCTTGCTGAAGCATTCACCCAAATGAGTCTTGAACATACCATTTCCCCAGGTATGAATTCTCCTTTGACAGGTCAAGAAACCTCTAGAATCCAAGAGAAGACAATGGAGTCACAAGAGACGAGCAAAACAAGCTTCGAGAGTGATCGAGAGAGTGAAGATCAAGAACAATACATCAAGGACTTGGAAGAGCTTCAAGAGACTGATCAAGCTACCCAAGAGAAACTCCAAGAAGCCATCTACTTCAAGAAACCAACAAACAAACATGCACCTGACAAGACCCCTGAAGTAGATCAAGACGTAGTTCAGAGAACATTAATTGGGCCTAGATCGCATCCAGGTAAGTTCTATTCAGTATTTTTGATATTTGCAGGTCCACTAAGCCCCAACAACGGCTAGAATATGTGCCCTTCAAGTGAGTTTAAGTGTGCACAATTAGTTTCTTTATTTTGTCATTTTCTTTCCAAAAACAATGGGTTTTGTGTTTGCTTTTTATTTGTTTCCTTTTGTATTTCTTTGCATTTATTTTTGGCCCTAGGGCTAGCTGATGGACTCTTATAAAGTCCCCCAGCAGCAGTTGTACGATTTTTTCACCCTATTATCAATAAAGAACCCGAATTTTCTTCACTTCTTCTCTTTAAGTGTTCTTAAGAGAATAAGCTTGTTCTTTGTCTTGTGTGTGTGATTCCACAAGGCTAAGATCGTGTACTGTATCAGAGACCAATCACATCTCTGTGGTGTACTTCAATCCGCCAGCACTTCCCCTTCATTCGATCCCACACGAGAGAAGCGACTGCCATCGTGTCAGATCTACATCAACGACCATCTTTCCTACACAAGAGAGAAGCGACCGCCAACTTGTGTAGCCATCATATCTATCCTGATACAAGCTCACCACCGAGTCTTGTATCATCTGGTATCAGAGCCTCACGCTCTTCCCTTGCCAGGTTTACCTTTTCCATCTTCTTTCGATAGTTTTGATTTCTAGTTTTGTTTTATTTAATTTTCAAATAAAAATAATAATAAGAACCCTAGTTTGCTGCAGCCTTGTTTCTATAGGTTGTTTAGTTTTATTTTTCCTTAAAAAAAAAAAAAATTTCGTCACTATTCTTTCCTTAATCGTCTGTTTCAGTCTTTGATTTAGTTTCTATACTTT